TTTCCGGCTAATTGGTGTGGCACCCAAACATCAAGCTTCTTTTTGAATCCAGTTTTGTGTAAATGCTTTAAAACAGTTTTATGGTCGATTTTTAGCTCCTGACGATGTTACGACTGCTAACATGCCGGCCAACTTCGATTATTTCTCCGATTTTATCGACATTTTCGACAACCGGCCAAATCGATTTCATTTTCCCAAACCTAATATTTAGGGATTGTTTTCAAGCGTGGTGCATACTTTTAGGTGCTTTCTTTTTAGATGCTTTCTTTGGTCGTCCACAGTTACTGAAAAAAATCAAAATTTTTTCTAAATGACTATATAAATAATTTCTTCTTTACGGAGTATTGAATTTTATATAAAAATTAATTTATCAATGACAATAAATGACACTGAGATCGAATATTTGTTATAACAGAAATCCGCAACCATAAACTTCTATTTCGTAGGAAAATCTCAGTCATTGTTTTTTTAACTGATGTTTTTCTTCATATAAAACCTTCAGTCACGGAGAAGCTAGAGAACAATTCTTAATCAATGTACAATTTTTTCTATAAAAATTTCCTCTTGGTCCCTGAAAAATTATTATTTAAAAAATCCAGACTTCTATAAGCTCCTTAACATTTTTTCTTTAACAATTCCATGCTTCTGCAGATCCCAAAAAAATTTTCAAAAAAATATATTTTTGTAGTTTTAAAGTGAATATTTTTCTGCGATTCTCTGAAAAATATTCTGTAAAAATGCATGCTTCTGATAAGAAATAATGTTAAAAGATCCACCTGTACTAGTCTCTGAGAGACTATATTTTTGTTGTGTGATATATACTTTTAGGCGTTATTCTAGTACACAATAAGCTATCAGATATTTTCAATATCGTATATACCATATACAGGGTTGCCCTTATTCGACGGACCCATCTGGCAACGCCATAACTTTTGACAGAGATGTCACATTGCTTAATGACATACCGCGTTTGAAGCGTCAGTCCAAGCAGATTTTTACCATGAACCAATACATGCCACGCGAGCGCTCTGAAATAGTTGAAATTTACATTCAACAGAAGAAGTCAATTGTGAAAACTCAACGTGCTTTTAAAACATTAAAAAATGTGAGAAGTGCGCCTTCTAAGAACACCATTAAGCGTTTATACGAAAAATTTTCGACTGGTAAGGCTCTTTCTAATCCGAAGAGGCCATATAAAAGTCGACCAAGGCGATCGGGCGTACAAAATTCAATTGACGCAAAGAATGTTACCTGCGGACAAGCCTCGTCGATTGGAATGGGCCCAAAGAGTCATCGAAATGGCCGAAGATGACGAGCAATTTTGGAACAAAATTATCATGTCCGATGAAGCCCATTTCACATTGAATGGGATCGTAAATAACCAAAATTGCCGTTTTACGCCACTGAAAATCCTCAGGAGATTCAAGAAGTGCCTCTTCATGACGAAAAAGTCAAAGTTTGGTCCGGCGAAAACGGTCATAGGGCCGTTTTTCTTCCAAAATGAAAATGGCCATGCTGTTACCATCAATCAGGAGCGTTATCGCGACATGACCAATTTTGTGATGCCAATTATTCGTCGAAAGCGTATGAGGCAGTTCTGGTTTCAACAAGACGGAGCTCCACCGCACACAAGTCGCATAACAAACGATTTTCTCAAGAATTTGTTTCCGGGTCGTTTGATGTCGAAAAGTGGTTATTTGGAATGGCAACCGCGTTCGCCCGATTTGACGCCGCCTGACTTCTTCTTGTAGGGATATTTGAAGTCAAAAGTTTACGTTAACAAGCCAAGGACCCTAGAAGAGCTCAAGGACAACATTCGTAAAGAAATAGCCGCTATTCCGGCCGAAATGTTGGCAAAAACGATGGAAAATGCAGCAAAAAGGGCACAATACCTCATCAACGCCAGAGGCGGCCATTTGAGAGATATCATATTAAAAAATTGATGTAAACAAATCTACTTGGAACAAATTAAATGATTAACATTGCCAACCGCCAAATTTTTATTTTTTTTCTTTGATTTTTTTAAAAAAAACATGAGTCCGTCGAATATGGGCAACCCTGTATATAAAATACATATAATATTAGTTGAATATAGAATAAAACCAAGGCATATAGAAGGATATCATAGTAGCTATAATATTTAAGTGTGGTGCCTATTTTTAGGCGATTTTTATTTTTTGGCCTCCGATTTTTTTTAAATATCCATAATTCAGCAAGCACCGAAAAATTATTTTAAAATTCCATGCTTCTGTGAGTCGCTGAAAGCTGAAATAATGTATTTTGAAAATTCAAATTTTTGTAGTATATTGCATAACTGGAAGTTCTCCAAATATTAAGTAAGCAAAAAAAGAAATAAAAATTCCAAATGTTAATATAGGTCAAGGTTAGGTTCGAAAACAGATAACTATCGTTGACAAAATATTTATCAAAGAAAGTAAGAATTTTTTGTTTTCTTCCACCGAAAAAAATTCAAAATATTATCTAATATCTAACAAAAGAACCAAACACCTTCAACTCCCACTAAAGGCAAACAAACGAAGTCAGCAGAGGCGCCATGAAAATAAAGCCAAAAAATAACGTAAACAAGTTCAGTAGCTATTTTATATAATCTTTTGGACAAATAACAGTTGGGGAAATGGAAGTCAGTAACTAAATAGATTTCGAAACTCCACTCCACATCATAGCTAAATATGTCAGATAGCTAAAAGCAGTGGCTGATATTTGTTTTAAATTCCAATGGAAATGGAAATAATTTCCGAAACCATTTGCACTACTACGAATTTGGAAATCATTTAGCAAATTGGTGTGTATGTCCTTTGAAGGCCATTACTTCTTCTTCCCTACCAAAGGATTTTTTTATTTTGATTTTTCGTTATTTTTTGCTTTCAAGCCTTGGGCTGGTTCTGCCATTAAATGTTAAAAGGCAAGGCCACATATTTTTTGGCTAATTCTATATAATTTGCGTTGTTGCTGTTTCCTTTATGGCCTTGATACATGACAACTATTTTACAAAAATGGCCCAAGAAAGACATGGAACTGGTTATTGACTTTTTGTCGTTTTTTATTGTTGTTATTTTGATAATAAAAGGTCAGTGTTAGATGGCAAACGCTAAGTTAACATTTCACTCACCTCTGGCCTCTGGGAGTTGAATAATAGAACAGGCACATTAGGAGCAATAAAAATGTGTAATGACCTAGTTACGTGATCTGATTAGGATGTGATAGAAGACGAAGGAAAAGAAATATTCTTTAAAAAATTCGTACACGAAAAATAAGTCTTTGAAAAAATATTGTTTTTATTTTTAGGCCCTGTGTAATCTTTGAAAAAGTTTTTTTTAATTTACACCTTGGCTAGGCCCTGAAAAACTATATATTTTTAAAAAATCTACGCCTATGTTAGTTCCTGAAAAATAATATTTTTTTAAATGTACCCCTTGTGTAGGTTCTACGGTTACGGCTTGCGTAGGACCTAAAAAATATTTTCTAAAATATCTATGGCCTTGGAGAGGCCCTACAAAATATTTTCTAAAATATCTACGCCTTGGAGAGGCCCTACAAAATATTTTCTAAAATATCTACGTCTTGGAGAGGCCCTACAAAATATTTTCTAAAATATCTACGCTTTGGAGCGGCCCTACAAAATATTTTCTAAAATATCTACGCCTTGGAGAGGCCCTACAAAATATTTTCTCAAATATCTACGCCTTGGTGAGGCCCTATAAAATATTCTTTTAAAAAATCTACGCCTAGAGTAGGTCCGGACAAAATATTTTTTAAAAAATCTACGCCTTGGGTAGGCCTTGCATTTTTTTTAATCTACGCCTAGGATTAGTTACATGCTGTTAATATGTTAACAGAGCTTGTAAATAGTTAACAGAGGCTGTTAATATGTTAACAGAGGCTGTTAATATGTTAACAGAGGCTGTTAATATGTTAACAGAGGCTGTTATATGTTAACAGAGGCTGTTAACATGCTAACAGAGGCTGTTAATATATTAACAGAGGCTGTTAATATATTAACAGTGGATGTTAATATGTTAACAGAGACTGTTAATATATTAACAGACGTTGTTAATATATTAACAGAGGCTGTTAAAACATTAACAGAGGCTGTTAATACATTAACAGAGGCTGTTAATAGTTTGACAGAGGCTGTTAATACATTAACAGAGGCTGTTAATACAATAACAGAGGTTGCTAATATGTTAACAGTGGCTGTTAAAATGTTAACAAAGGCTGTTATTATGTTAACAGTGGCTTTTAATATGTTAATAGGGGCTGTTAATATGTTAACAGAGGCAGTTAGTATGTTAACAGAGGCTGTTAATACATTAACAGTGGCTGTTAATACATTAACAGAGGCTGTTAATACATTAACAGAGGCTGTTAATACATTAACAGAGGCTATTAATACATTAACAGAGGCTGTTAATACATTAACAGAGGCTGTTAATACATTAACAGAGGCTGTTAATACATTAACGGAGGCTTTTAATACATTAACAGAGGCTCTTTATATGTTAACATAGGCGTTTAATACATTAACAGAGGCTGTTAACACATTAACAGAGGCTGTTAATACATTAACAGAGGCTGATAATACATTAACAGAGGCTGTTAATACATTAACAGAGGCAGTTAATACATTAACAGAGGCTGTTAATACATTAACAGAGGCTGTTAATACATTAACAGAGGCTGTTAACACATTAACAGAGGCTGTTAATACATTAACAGAGGCTGTTAATACATTAACAGAGGCTGTTAATACATTAACAGAGGCTTTTAATACATTAACAGAGGCTGTTAATACATTGACAGAGGCTGTTAATATGTTAACAGTTGCTGTTAATATGTTAACAGTTGCTGTTAATATGTTAACAGTTGATGTTAAAATATTAGCAGAGGCTGTTAATGGAAAAAAATCATTAAAAATATATATTTTTTATTTCATCCTTAACTAATCTCTGTATTTTCTCCCTCTCTCTCTCTTCTTCCAGGTTTCCATATGACACCAAAATTACATCTGATCTTTCCTGAATCCTGTCTGCTGATTGTTGTCGGTGTTGTCATTGGTGTTGTGCTCTTCTTCTGTACCGATGTAGCCGTCTCACCTCTAACACCCAACACCTTCTTCTTCTATATGTTGCCACCGATTATATTGGATGCGGGTTATTTTATGCCGAATCGATTATTTTTCGATAATTTGGGTACAATTCTGTTGATGGCTGTGGTCGGTACCATTTTCAATATTGCCACCATTGGTAAGTAAATGAAAGTTACGAGTTTTTATTTTTAATTGGAAATTATGAGACCCAGGAACGCTTTTTCTAATGCCCTCCAAAAAGGGAAGAAATGGGAAGGGAGATTCGAAAGGAAATTAAAACAGTTTCAACAATTAAAAAAATAATAATTGAAATGAATGCTTATGACGACAGAGGAGACGACACAACGACTATGTGGAAGATATGAGGGAGTGGAAATTAAAATCTATTTTTATGTTCATTTGTTTTGACTTCTGTATGGAATCTATATTCCCCCTTATGCTCTTCATACTATCTATTCTTTCTACCCCGATCCACTCTTCAGCGATAAGTAATGTTCTTGATAATGAATTGAATTTCTTTGTAAATAAAAATATTTTTTTTTTCGACTTTATTGTTGCTGGTGTCACCCAACATTCAGACACCAGCCATTAGAAATGAACAGAAACATCGAGTCATCTTCATTCTGATGGTGGCTACTTGGTCGCCACCACCCATATCAATATCCTTTCGTCGTCGTCGTTTTGCTCGTCTTTTGTGTTCAAATACTTGAAAACAATTTCAATTAATTTGACATTTGATCTGATGATGAAATTGTTGCTGTTGTCGCATTTCATTTGTTTATTGTTATGGCAAAAAAGTTTAAAATTTCAATTTCAATAGTTGAAAACAATACAATGCCAATGTGCGGGAGCTCCTCTTCTCCTTTTTCAATTACATCAACAAAATACTTAATTTAAAACCACATCTATTTTTTCGAATAAATGAATTTGTTTTGTTGACAACAATATTTTGTTGTTTAGAGATTTTTGGCTATAGAATTTCATATTGTGTTTAGTCAAATTTTCAAATAATAATTATAATTGATTATAATGAGATTGAGTTAAAATGCCTGTGAGATCAAATAACCCACAGAGAGACTGTTTCAGTATTGACAGATGCTGTTTAAATGATAACAGAGGCTGATAATATGTTAACAGAGGGAGATAATATGTTAACAGAGGCTGTAAAGGTGTTAACAGAGACTGTCAAGATGTTAACAGAGGCTGCTAAGATGTTGACATAGGTTGCAAAAATATTCACAATATTAACAGTGGCTTTTATATGTTAACAGAGGCTGTTAATATGTTAAAAGTATTAAAAGCGGCTGTTATTTGTTACCGATGGCTCTAATTATGCTAACAGAGGCTGTTAATGTTAACAGAAACTTTTTAGATATCAACAGAGGCTGCTGAAATGTAAGCAGAGGCTGCGAATATGTTAGCATTGGTTGTTAATATGCTACCAGAGGCCGTTAATTTGTTAACATAGGCTTTTAAAAAGTTAACAGAGGTTGTTAATATCTTAATAGATTCTGTTAATATGTTGACAGAGACTGTTAATATATTAACAGAGTCTGTTTCTATGTTAACATATGCTGTTAATATTTTAACAGAGGCTGTTAATTCGTTAACGTTAATATGTTAACAGAGGCCGTTAATATGTTAAAAGAGACTGTTAATATGCTAAGAGAGGCTGTTAATATGTTAACAGAGACTGTTATTATTTTAACAGATGCTTTTAATATGTTAACAGATGCCGTTAATATGTTAACAGAGACCGTTAATATTTTAAAAGAGGTTGTTGATATGTTAAGAGACGCTGTCAATATATTAACAGAGGATGTTAATATGGTAACAGAGGATGTCAATATGTTAACAGAGACTGTTAATATGTTAACGTGGGCTGTTAATATGTTAACAGAGACTGTTAGTATGTTAACAGAGGCTGTAAATACGTTAACAGAGGCTGTTAGTATGTTAACAGAGGCTGTTAATATGTTAACAGAGGCTGTTAATATGTTAACAGAGGCCGTTAATGTGTTAAAAGAGGCCGTTAATATGTTAACAGAGACTGTTAATATGTTAAAAGAGGTTGTTGATATTTTATGTCAATAAATTAACAGAGGATGTCAATTTGGTAACAAAGACTGTTAATATGTTAACACAGGTTGTTCATAAGTTAACAGAGGCTGTTTGTATGTTAACAGTGGTTGGTAATACGTTAACAGTGGCTGTTTAATTATTTGCAGTGATTATAAATTTCCGAAAGGTGTCCGTTCAAAATTCTCCTATGACACTACCTCTAAAGTGCCTACAAGCGGTAGTGCTCTGCTTGTATATGTAGTGTCCTTGAGACTCCCTTCAACTTTGCTATAGAAAGTCCCTAGAGACTAGTCTATAGACTAGTTCAACGAGAACGACTATAAAGGTTCGCTTGGGCTATAAAGCTCCCCTAGGCCTCCTTTAACCTCGTCGATAATTACTCCCTTCAGTTCGCCTATAACGGCTACCTTCAGCTCGCTTATTGGGACTCCTTTCAGCTCGTCTATAGAAAATGCCTATTATCATAGGGGCTTCCTACAATCGGGACTCCTTTTCGCTCGTCTACAAAGATTTTAACTCATTTACTGAGACTCTCCTAAGCTCGCATATAACGGTTCCTTTCAGCTCGCCTATAAAGGTTACTTTCAGCTCGGCTATAAAGTCTCTCTGTAGCTCTCCTATAAAGGCTTCCTTCAGTTGGTATATAAAGGCTCTCTTCAGCTCTCTTACAAAGGCACCCATCTGGTCGCCTATAACGGCTTTCTCCCATCAGTGAGCTGAAGGCAGTCTTTATAGGCCCCTTCAGCCCGCCTATAAAGACTCCCTTCAGACTTCATAGCCGAGCTTAAGGCAGCTTGAAGGGAGATTTTATAGGAGAGCCTGAAGTGATCCTTTATAGGCGAGCTGAAGTCAGTCTGAAGAAAGCCTTTATAGGCAAGTAGAAGGAAACCCTTATTGGCCAGCTGAAGGGAGTTTTAATAGGCGATCTGAAGGACTTCATATAGACGAACGAAGCTAGAAATTCTCCCTGTAGCTCTTCCATAAAGGCTTCCATCAGTTCGTATATAAAGACTCTCTTCAGCTTTCCGGCTTTCTCCCATCGGCTCGCTTTCTCCCTTTCCTATGGAGTCTGCCTTCTGCTAGCCTCGTCTATAGAGTTCCCATTATTGTCATGCTAAGAATGATTCATTAATACTCAATCAATTTTATGCCCTGATACAAAAACTCCATTCTAAATGCAACAAATATGACCTTGCTTGTCTGCCCCAACCAGACTCAAATTATTGGTATATTAATGACTGTCGTTAAGACTGTCATAATTCTTTAGAAAAAAAAAACAAACAAATAAAATAAATAATGCCTTTCATTTATTTGGCCATAACTTTCTATGATTCGATTTTTTTTATTATATTTGTCATGTTATTTTTTCGAAATTATTGACCTAATTCCTCTATCCATAGGCTAAGTGTAATATTTACTGTCAATCAAAAAAAATGTTTTGAGTAAATATTAAATTATTTTCCTAGGCCTGTTAATTACGATATTTTCGTGTTGAGTTTGGGTTTTTTTTTGAAAAAAGGTCGTCGCTTAAATTCTGACAATTAATGACTGTGATTTTTTTTTTTGCTCAGGGGGAGGGGGAAACATTTCCCCACTTGTAGTTTTTTTTTGAGAAAGGTTGAAGAGGGGGGACTCAGATGTTTGTGCGTACTTAAAGATGTAATCAATCATTCGATTGGTTCGTTTGTTTGTCTATCTGTCAGACGACGGCATTCAATGTCATCGCATTCGTATCTTGTTACTAAATGTCAAGTGTATCTCGTTGCTGTTGTTGTCGATGTGCTCGAGAAGTTGGGTTCTCAGATGCGTAAAATAAACATGCGTTCTACACTTGAGTCATTATGACATTCGGCATGCCGCCATGCATGCCATTATGATATCGATCATAAAACTCAAGAACATGTTTTGAAAATTAAACAGCAAATGTGAAAGTCGAATCGGTTAATGGTTGCAAGGAGAAGTATGACTTGGACTACATCAAAACTTCTAGATGAAGGGAATCTTTATACAGAAGCTGAAGGAGGCCTATATGGGCGAGATAAAAAAGCTGATGTTAGCTTTTTTTTGTAGACCAGCTGAAGACAGACTGAAGGAAGCCTTCATATGCGAGCTGAGTGAGCCTTTATATGGGAGCTGAAGGGAGCTTTTATAGGCCAGCTGATGGTAGCCTGAAGGGAGCCTTTATAACTGAGCTGAAGCCTGATGGGAGCCTTTATAACTGAGCTGAAGCCTGATGGGAGCCTTTATATGCGAGTTGAAGGCAGCCTGATGGGAGCCTTTAAAGTCGAGCTGAAGGCAGCCTGATGGGAGCCTTTATAACTGAGCTGAAGCCTGATGGGAGCCTTTATAGGCGAGCTGAAGGCAGCCTGATGGGAGCCTTTATAGGCGAGCTGAAGGCAGCCTGATGGGAGCCTTTATAGGCGAGCTGAAGGCAGCCTGATGGGTGCCTTTATAGGCGAGCTGAAGGCAGCCTGATGGGAGCCTTTATAGGCGAGCTGAAGGCAGCCTGATGGGAGCCTTTATAGGCGAGCTGAAGGCATCCCGATGGGAGTCTTTATAGGCGAGCTGAAGGCAGCCCGATGGGAGTCTTTATAGGCGAGCTGAAGGCAGCCTGATGGGAGCCTTTATAGGCGAGCTGAAGGTAGCCTGATGGGAGCCTTTATAGGCGAGCTGAAGGCAGCCTGGTGGGAGCCTTTATAGGCGAGTTGAAGACAGCCTGATGGGAGCCTTTATAGGCGAGCTGAAGGGAGCCTTCATATCTGAGTTGAATGCAGCCCTTATAGGCAGCCTATAAAGGCTGAAGGCAGCCTGATGGGAGCCTTTATAGGCGAGCTGAAGGCAGCCTGATGGGAGCCTTTATAGGCGAGCTGAAGGCAGCCTGATGGGAGCCTTTATAGGCGAGCTGAAGGCAGCCTGATGGGAGCCTTTATAGGCGAGCTGAAGGCAGCCTGATGGGAGCCTTTATAGGCGAGCTGAAGGCAGCCTGATGGGAGCCTTTACAGGCGAACTGAATGCAGCCTGATGGGAGCCTTTATAGGCGAACTGAAGGCAGCCTGATGGGAGCCTTTATAGGCG